CTCTATGTCGCGAAGAGGACTATAATACGGACTATATACGGAGCAACCCGTTAGCCATACCAACCGCATATTTTACAAAGAAGAAAGACGCTCTTTCAGTTTGTTTGATTAATGGCAATTTTCTCATTATCAGTCCGGAGTGTCCGTTCGATCAAGTGCTTCGAGTGGATTACGCTCCGTACACAAACTCGGTTTCTTTCTTTTGTCACTTTGGGGCAAACAGCGGCGCCGGTCCATTATTGGATGCCGATATTCATCGTGCCTGACCTGTCGATAGATTCACGAGCGTCTGCTATCTTGGCCCAGCACGTACCATATTCCACCGTAATCGCGCTGTTACAGCGGCCGTGTTGATCGTCACACGTGTAATTGGGTCTCTAAGACTATGTATCGGGATACAGTTCTGTCCGATTCCGCATTTGCTGGCATCGTAAATATGCTGTTTCCATGCAAATACGCGTTGACAACGTTGCGCGTGGTTGTCGTCGTAAAACATAAAATAATAACGGATCGTTGCTTTCAAAATAAACTACAAATAGAAAACGTTGCAAGAATGTTCTCGTTAAGCACAATTGAATACTTTTCGATGCTAAAATGATAACATATAAAAAATAAATGATAATAATACTTAATAATATATATATAAAACGTGAAGTAATTATAAAATTATAAATAAATTTCATTTTTTAGAGCTATTTAAGGTTGTTTGCAATAAATACAATTTAAGCGGGCCGATCAGATGTAAGAGAAAAAAATAGAGAGCATCGAGGTTATCGAGCGATGACAGGGTCGATTGCCACAGGAAGGAAAAGCGAGGTGAACGGGAATTCGCGCTCAGGCGATCGGATATCGGGCTGCGTCTTCCACGCATTTTCTTTTTGGACGACAAAAGATGCGGCCAGGATGCGAATTCTTCCGTGATCGAGGTTGAAGAATGGGGCAGACGAATTTAAGGCATCCAAGCGAAGATACGATACATGGTTGTTCACCGCTGAGTAACCAAGACTATGAATATTCATCCATATAAAAATATATATAATTCTTTGCTTCCTTTTCAGTAAAAAAATTCTTCTTCAATTAAATATTTGGTCATTTCTCGATTATGACACAAAATCAAATTAAGTGGTTTACGAGAGTAAGTTGCGTCTCTTTCGTTTTCATTTGATATCTATAGACTCAAGTGAAGACGTTCAGTGAAAAGTGTGATAGACCGAGAAGTTAGAGAAAAAGGAAGCCTGTATGCCAGGTCAGATTACCATATATCCGATTACATCCCTTTCGATAGACGCCGAGATGCTAACAAGTGCAAACTATGGCTTCGTACTACATTTATTTTCAGTCCCAAGTGAGAAGGTAAAAATAAGGTGATCATATACGTTCACAACTTTCCAATTAACGTATCGGAAATATAAATTTGTATCTCTGTATATGAAATTGTTACAATCTGTCCACATAAATTTCACAATTCAATATTCGCGTTGCATCATATGAAGAATCATCTATTATTACACATATATAGCAATCAATAATTTTTATTTGTTTGATAGCTAGACATATATGTTGTAAATTTTTGTGTAATTGACGTACATTCAGCATTGTCTCGAGGGAAGTAAAGTAAAAAAGGATAGCACACAAAAACGTATAGATGTACGGTGTTTCTTCGATCGATTATCAATATTATCATCTATTATTCGAAATGAATATTGCGCATAATACCCAGATTATCTAACGTTTCGGACACTAATTTTTAGCTCGGAGATATGCGCTCGGCTACATTAATGTAATCTAAATGATAAACGATGCAGAGCAAGACGCTTTATGCCACGAAACCTATACTAACAAAATTATTTTCTCGATATTCAATTGCGAATATTCAACGAAAGATTTACGTTGCCTGATCTTGAGAGCTCACTGAAACCAAATCTTAATTAGCTTACCCGAACATATTGAGATAATTAAAAATAAAATATCGCAAAGTCGTGAAAAAGATAGCTGTGATTTGATTAAATTCTCATTAAAAATGGATTCCGATGTGACTCAAGGAGTTCATCGTGTGGATCATACGAGTGAAATTCTCTGGAAAACGTCACGTTGCAACGTGGCGGAAAATTTGATTTCGCTAATGGGATCTTTCATCCCGGCGTTACATCCCGCAGAAAACACTTGGCGGAGTAAAATCGCGGAGTTTCGAACAATCTCGACATTAATTCTACCTGCGCCGGCGGCCGCGTGCTCTCTCCTTCTCTCTCTCTCTCTCTCTCTCTCTCTCTCTCTCTCTCTGTCTCTGTCTCTCTCCAGCGCACGTTTATAGAAATATTTTCTATAAAGCGCGTTCTCCCGGCACAATGGCGGCCGTGCTGGAAGTGAAAATACTTTGTCTTGTTTTCAAAGAGACTTAATATTTATCATAGCGAACGCTTAAAAGACTGTTGCCGACAGGTCGCATAATTTAAGTGTTCCCTCCACTCACGCTATTTTGCATGCTGTCTCGTCCAAGTGTGCCGCGCATAGTTTCATATCGAAGGCGGTGCTCTCTCGCTCGCGGGCGGAATCGATAGTTTTTGCGAATGCTGGAAATGCATATTCGCGACTATCGCCCGTCCGATCGCGACCGGTCCTTTATTCCCCTTTCGATGCAAGAAAGAGTTACCGCGGTATATCATTTTGTTCCACCCTGGATTTATTATTTGTACAAGAATGTAGAATTATAAGAGACAAAGTTGTTATACTATATCGATTCAAAATCTGTTTCTGTTTTTTCGATAAATTTTATCTTTTATACATATGTATATTGTTGCATTGACTTTGTATTTTTGTTTTCTGATAACATGCATGTGTTTTATCAAAATAAAAGTTTTTTTAATTGCTATTTAAAATATTTTGTTATATGTATAATTTCTTGTAATTATTCGATCCACAATTACCGATTTTTATATTGAATAACTGCACGATATCGTTCCGCGCCTGAATGATAACGGTAATATTTGCACTAATATTTTCCTGTGATTTTCATATTATTCGCAAACACTTTTTTCCAGCTGCCGCGAGAATACTGGATCGTTGATGTGAAAAAATAACATTCCGCGCGATGCATGCTACAGCTCTGTGTAATCACGCTCATTGTTAGGACAGACCGATTTATTTTCCCGTGTGCCACGTGTGTACTTTTCTATCGAGCAAAAACGTCCACGAATCTAATTAATAAAACAAATGCGCCTTTCATGTCCTCCGTACCGTCCATCTCTATCGCGCGTAGAATTAATCCCGGTACGAAACTCGTCGCGAAAATTAAAAATACACTTTTCCTCATCGCGATTCGTCTCGCTAATAAATTACGCGTCTGATTAACGTGGCACTGCCGCTAAACTGATTGATCGCGGAAACTGATAACTGTGCGAAATCTGTACAGATAAATTAACTTTTACGAAAGGAGCTCGGTTTTGAGCGTCGCGCGTGATATTAAGGATAGAAATGCTCCGTTATTCTTGGCGCTGAGGAGCTTCCTTGTCTACCCGTATTATTCGATCTGATTTACTTAAACCTCTTAGGGTTGGAGATCATTCTGTCACGTCGCACGACGGATTTTTATAGCTTGCGGCTCTTTTTACCTGTGTTCGTGAACGGCGAGTACGTCGGAACTCGCGTGTCTCATGTAGTACGTTTAAACGGCTTTTTAACATTCGTCGCGTGTACACTTCTACGCTCGTGTGTGAGTGTGGGGGCAGTGCTCTTGCAAAAAAATACACACATACTCTCGGCCAGCTATACGTAGAGTCGAAAGGCTTTATAGAACCAGCACGACATATATGTATATGTACAGCGTGTCGCAGGCTGCCTGCAGTCTCTTTTACGTGCGGATTTTTTGATCAAGTTGACTTTCTCGTAACAAGAATACTGAAGCATTGATAGTTTTTTAAATCATAAACGATTGAAAATTAAAAAAATAAGTAAGAAATCTTATTCTTTTCATATATCTCCGTATATTTCACCCTTTAAATTAAACTTCTTGTAAATTAACTTGAGATAGCTTCGGGTTTTTATAGATAACACAAGAAAGAAACGTATCAAAGTCATTGTTTGATAACATATCTCGTATTTATAACAGTGAGCTAATCATAAACCGCGAGCTGTAAAATGTAGCCTTGCGAATGTAACCCTGTCACGATAAATACATGGCGATAAAATTATCGTACAACTGTGCGAAAAAGAAGACAAAATAAGTAGATGAAAAGATTTTAGTGTAGTAAAAGTAGAAAAAAATATTCGGCTGTTAATTTCGGTTTAAGTGGATAACATAAATTCACGTTAAGCATTGCGTTCAAAAGGCACTTGAAGATATTTCCTTTTATAACCTATTTTAACGTTTTACAATAAAAATTTTTCAATATAAATTTTGTTGTTAATGCATTTGCATGACCAACTAATATAACGAGATTTTGTGTCACTGTTCGTTTATATGTTAAAGAAACAATAGGAGTGACGTATCGAATTTATAAAAATCTCATAAATAATGCTTTCGAGGAAAGCTCGTTATCATATTCATTATCGACAGGAATTTTCACTCCCACAAAAATGCAAAAATTGCGTCCGCATAAGCTCTCGTTCAAGTGCAGGAATATTAATGTACTTACATTGTGAATATGAGCACAAAGAGGACATCGGTGCGATAAGCGACGGATCGATAGGGTCGGGAACAAGTCGTTCGTATGATAAAGTACTAAATTGCAGCCGCGGCAATATTTCATAACGTATCCACGCCGGTCATTATCGCGCTCTGCGGATTGTGTGTGCGAACATTTTCGAATCAATTAAGCGGCACTCCGTGAAAATCATGAAAATCGCGCGAAAAATAGATCTCGTTCGCGGAAAATAATCGCTGGCGAGCTATTGACGAAAAAACATCGCGTGATAATATTCCACTTGTGATTATGCGAAATTTCCCTCCATAAGAGACCGTTTGTATTTCCAACTGGTGATATAATTTCGCCTTCGTATACTTGTGGCGGAGTAGGGGAAGCAGAGAGAAGAGAGAGAACCAGAAAGAGGGGGGGGGGGAGAAAAAAACGCAAACCAAGCATCAAAAGCGCATAATTTCAGCTTAACACGGACGCCACTCGAAAGAGCACTCTTGCCTCGCTTCGTTATTGGCAATAAACCTCAACCTGTTCTTTGCGTGTACACGATCTCGCACGCGCACGCGCGGCCTCTCCTATGTTGGCTGTGCAATTCGTGCGGCATCGAACGGAGGTGCATTTAACTCTCCGCACATGTGCGAGCTCACGAGCCATTGAGATAAAACGCGCAGTAAATAAACAGGGCCGCCCGCGCTATTATTTGCGACAAGAAATATCGAATCGCTGGCGGAAAAGCTAACCGGATATATCGCAGGCATGCACGCCTGTACATGTGTTTAAGTGATGCGACTATATGCGTAGATAGCGACAAGATGATGCGTGTACATGATTGTGATACACAACACGCCTGACATCCGACTAAGTTTCAGCTTACTATCATTATATATTCACGTAAGGCATTTGCAGTCATTGTGGCAAATTATTCTTTCGTATTTGTTTGCGTTTATTTACTTAATCTGAATTTGGCTTGAACGTCGCATTAAAAATTGTGTTATTCTCCTTTTTACTTTAGTGTAATTATCTTTGCGTAATCGTCGTGTGAGAATTTTAATTTAATATCGAATGACAATTCTTCTAAGTCTTGTCATGATACGTACACGCGTATAATTTAAAACAGTAATGTGATATTATCGAATTGAATAATAAGTTTACTACAACGTCAGAGTATGATTACATTTCCTCATTATGAATTGGAATAATGATAATTTGTTGCCTGGACTATCAGAAGTACATTTATCGAATCCGAATTGAGTTTGGTTATTATTAAATTAAAATAATTATAATTTGTTGTTGTGGGTTATCTGAAATACATTTATCGAATCAAATTGAATTCGGTTACTGTTAAATTAATATCAGATGCACGATATACACAAAGATAGATAATAACTCATCTACAATAGAATTTTTGTAAGAGTCTGACTTTTTTGTCTTTTCAATCATCTTCCGTGAAATCGCCCTCGACGGGAAGTTCCGTGACCTAAATAACGAAAGCAGATATCTCGCGTAGCGGAGCGAACCAAGAATCGGGGATTAAAGAGTTCCATCGCGCCACAGGACGAGATGTCAGATCGTGGACGGCGGTAGGAAATCGTCGAAGTTTCCAGGTCGATAGGGCGTACCAAGGAGGGGCGACTCAAGAGGCCGGCCAGGAAATGCAAAGAGTGCAAGGAAGAAAAGGAAGAGACGCGGGCGCGAAGAGGAATCGGAGATCGGCACGAAGGAGTGGCAGTCTCTCTTTCGACAAAAAGAGAAAGAGAGAAAGAGGGGGGAGGAGGAAGAGAAAGAGGGAAGGAAAAAGAGACGAAGAGAGTAGAGGAACAATTGAATCAGCGAAATCAAGCTCCCGCGATCGAGAGGGCTGGTACGCGCTCAAGCGCAATCACGACCACTCGCGAATTTAAATGCCACCACCTCGTACAAGTCGACGTGTTCGGCCACGCGGCCACCGGAGACTGGAAAGGAACAGGAAATTTAATGGGCGTATGCACGACACGACGCGCTGCATCTCCGGCGAGCGAGTGCATTGCCATCTCCGGAGATGCATATCCGCTCGAGTTCGCCGCTGACTCGTCCGGCGCGGACTTACCCTATGTGAGCTACCAAGATCTAAATTATACGAATAGATCCGTTTTCCTACGCTTCTTACGATTTGTTTTTATTCCTTCCGCTGAAATTAAATATGCATAATCGTGAATCAGAAATGTAGAATTAGAAATCGCATAGACTGAAATATAAATTCCGTGTAACGTTAGCATCTTGATATTTTCGCATAATATCAGGCGCACTTAGATTAGATTTAACGTTAGACACTTGATATTGTTAAAGTCTTGCTGTGCTTGCAAATCATGATTCGTGCCTTAATATAATTTGCATTTCATCGGTCAATTCGGACAGGCGTGACGTTACGTTATTTTCACCGAAGTATCGTAAACGCAAAGTTCTCTCGTGTATCACATTTTATTTACAGTTCACATATAATTGACGTATCGTAAAATGCAATATCGTGCGAAGGATATTTTTTTCTTTTCTTTCTTTTGAATGTATGAAATAATTATAAAGAGAGAAATATCGCGTGTCTTGCACAGCTACTTGGCAATTATACTAAATAAAACATCATAATCACGTATGGTTAATATAATCTTCAAAGGTTGTTCGTTGATGTGTAATGCATAACAATCGCAATTGTAACCGTAATCGCAATAATTTCGAGAGTCACGGCTTAACGAGCACTCTGCCTCTCTGGAATTATCCGGCTTTAGTTTTCACAATTCTTACGGGACGTTGCAAACGACTTTTGTTCCCAGCCAAAATAATCCATTTATTTCTATCGGATCACATAGTTGACGATCGTCGATCAGTCATTCGAATTAACGACGTATCAAGAGCCAAATGTAGCTCTAATATTTATCGGATATCCGGAAGGAAGTTAATCTTTCGATGCGAAATTGCATGTCGTCGTCGCAGCGCGTAATCGGACGAGCGGGGCTCGACTGTATTCAATCAAGTGGGCCATCGACCTGCGCGTGTGCGATCGACCGGACTCAAATTTAATCTTCTAATCCGAACAGAGAAGAATCGCAAAAGAAAGAGAGAGAGAGAGAGACAGAATGTGCACAGCAGGCACGGGCAGTTTCCTTGCTTTCGTCACCATGTGCAGCTTTTTCGTGACGGCAAGTCAGTAGCGTCGACAATTTTCCATCGGACTCACTTTTAACGGAATTGGACGGCTCGCTCGGATTTTACGACGCCTAGCTCTGTCTTCCGTGTACGTTCGGTCGCTCGGATCTCGACGTCGGGGAAAATAGAGAAAAATACGGGGAAATATATCGGCAAAGCCGTTCCGCTCACGCGCGCACGCGAGCTCGGCGCGCATATTGAGCCAACGTCTCATCCCGACAGACGTATGAGACGTTTATACGATATCTAGGTGCATTTAGGACTGGCTCAACTTAGCTCTTGGATACATTCGATATGCCAGCGTGCATCCTACATATATAAACAAATTCAAGTACATCGACCGACATACAAAAATGTTGCTTTCCAACATTCCGGTGAATTCATATCTCGATTAAATGTTTTAAATAACGATATTTACTTGTCACGCATCATGCATTAGCGTTAAAGTGTATAAAAATCGTTGTAATTAATCATCCTGATAAGTAAGGAGTTACAGGAGAGAAAAAAGGAGAAAAAATAGTTTATTAAAAAAAAAGTAAAACCTTAAGAGAAATCTCTCTTTACCTATCGACGTGTATTATTTTCTTATCAAGATGCGAAGTCGCGCATGTGCCGCGATTTTCTTTTATTCGTCAACTTATCAAAGAGCGGAGAGTATCCTCAGGATGAATATACCGAACGAAATATAGGTCACCGACGAGGACGCGGACGATTTATCGTACCATTGAGTTTTGTTTCCCCCATTTTCCACTATTTGAATTACGGAAGTAATTCAGTTAGAGTCCAAAAGGTACATACACAACATCGAACCTGGCGTTACCGGGCGAGCGGAACCAGAAAACGCGATTGCGACGGCTTTCGCGAAACAATTTCTACGTGCGAATGGCGCCGCCCGCGCGCACGCAGATTTCTACTTGAAAAATGGCAGGCGTCTCTAGAAAATAGTGACAAAAAGGCAGCGCTTTTTTATTTGCATCAGTGTTTCCCGCGTGGAACTCCGGCATGTACATTTGTCGGACGTCACGGCATGCCGCGCGCAATTTCCGCGGGGCGACCACTCGAAATTTTTCTCTCTAGCCGCGTTAGACAGAACGAGCACTTAATACGTAACGCAAATCGGGGAAGCGAGCACTGATTCACGGGATACGCGGGGGCTTTGCGCTATCCTGGCCGTGGATATCAGCCACGTTATTTCGGTCAGTTACTGGTCGGTAGCGTGCAAACGGCTCGCAATTACTCCGCTTTCTAATTTGGTTCTGGGCGTCCTACCGCTGATCTAACGATCAAATCACGTGACCTCCAGGAGGTCCGAAGGGCCGAGGGTAAGTTAAAACGTGCCGTAACATAAGCCGTTCCTTCACTTCTCTGCTTTCGCGATATGATACTCGTGTTCTTTTGCAGTTATAACGGGGTTTTCCTGACGCGAATATGTATTGACGTTAAAAGACGGGAACCTCATTTCACTTCAATCTTTATTTATTCTTTTCCGTTGTAACAATTTATTTCATTTCTATCTTGACTTTTAAATTTTATAAATTCTAAGATATGAGATACATATATATAATGTATTAGATTAAAATATGTATTTTACATTATAATACATTGTAATAAAGTCTATTCCCTTCTATTGCCCGTAAACTAGAGAAAAAATGATGTTATAAAATTATAATTTCGCCAAGGAACATAACGTGCAATCGAGGAAGTTTTAGATCTGTTGAACATCACCGATCATCAATGATCCATTTAATTCGTGGGTAATTGATCGCCGCAGCTCTTTAATCTGAGCGCTAAAGAATTCGCGAGTAACTTTCGAAATCCGTCGCGTTGCTTTGTATTTTGTCGCACGGCGAAACTACGGACAAACTCCATCTTCGGGAAACATTGCTTTCGGGCGAATGGACGATCGGGTGCTTCCTGCTTCCGATCGTGATTCTGCACGTGGACATTGAAGTTTTACGGAGCGTGAACGAAATACGTTGAGGGTGACGTGGGGAGGTCGGAGGAGGAACGAGTTGAATCGAGACGACTTTCGTCGGCGACGATATTATAGATTCTCTTGAAGAGTGTAAGGTTACTGCCTGACGGCAATGAATGAAGCACCGTTACGAAAAACGAAGGAATATTTCCATCCGATGTGACAGAACAGTCGAGATTATCGGTGCGGGTAAGAAAAGGAAAGACATCACAATGGAGAAAAGTGCCAATTTCAATCAGCAAGAGAAATATACACTGAATCGTGCAATAGACATTATAAGATGTCTCATAGTCTCTATTCTCTCGGATATCTCTATTCATCGGATTATTTGCATTTTCGCGACTATTATAACGATTTGGCCGCTATTAAGTTGAAATTGCATCTGATGCTGTTATACTTTATACGCTGTAGAATACTGAATAGTAACATGAGATATTTACTGAATCGTAACACGAGATATGAGATATTTAATGTATAATGCATCAGCTGAACGCTCAGAATTTTTACGACATTTTTCTATCAATCCTGCGAGAGATAGCGTCACTGACTGTATAATTTCACATCGATGCAATTTAAAAATTCATGCAATTACAGGTTAGAAAAATGCAATGTTTGCCGCGTGTTCTATTCTAGAGGAGAGTCTACAACGTTAGTGGATTTAAAAGTTCCGAAAATTCTTTCCAGTTTGCAGTTTTAATGGAATTAAGAAATCGTTTTATGCGTTCACAAACAGCGGGTCTTTTTAACCGGAATTTCCGGCAGACCGAGCACATTTGCGTAAAAATGTGTTACGACCAGCAGCGGAATACTTTAACGTAGAATAACATTAGAAGTTCTTGATGTTATTCTGTTGAAAGAGATCGTATCGCGCGCAGATAATATTATATCACCAAATTACTTCATCTTACGCTAACGTGGAAAGGAAAACAACTAGCCAGTACTATCTATCTCTTTTGCACGCGTACATGTGGAACAAATTCGCGAAACAAATTTCATCACGTAACGCGCGGAATTATTCCACACACGCACAACAGAGAATAACTAGAATTCCTGTAACCGTATCTGGTGTCGCGGGAAAATGCAGCACCCGCGCTAATATAAAACAGAAACACTCGACTAGTCCCCTCTCATCGCCCCTCTCCCCCCTTTCCCTCCCTGCCTATTCTCTAACACTGGGTCATAATAGTTTCCGCCGAAAATTCATGTCCTAAAAATACGCCACGACATCCATAAAGTCTGCCAGTCGTGAAAATTCGGGAGCGACTACAGTCGACATATACAAATATGAGCCTGGTATACCGAATTCCGAGTGAAAGCACTAAAAGAAATTTATTCATAGCCCGCATCTATCCGCGGGATAACATCTTCCGGAGCCGCGCTTCAAGAGATATATATACGTATACGTCCGCGGGAACGTCACGCGTTCGCGTTCGCGTTCGCGTCGCGTCGCGCGTCGTACCGCGGCGATCGATCGGCGCGAGGCTCGCACCCACTGCGTTCAGGTTCTTCTAGAATCCCTTTCTGAAATCTATGAATATTCAGCGGGAGGGGGGATCTTTCCTCCCGTTTTATCGTACTTTTTACAGAGCGGTCGATTCATAATCTTTCTCTCTCTTTCTCTCATCGAGTTAAATCAACATTGCTCGAGTGCGGCGCGTTCGTTAACGATTGATCGACGCGCGCGAGCAAATCCGCCCGACTAAATTTCTCGCGTCCTTTTAAGACGCATATCGTGCCCTAAAAACTTTCTTTAATTAATTTTACACATCGCGGCTAAATGCGCGTAAAAGGCAAATGGAAACTCAAACGCGAATAGTAACTGTCAAACTCCTATAACTCGTGAATACATAATGCAGCTCTCTTCGAATACAAATGTAATCTTGCATAAAAAGAACAGCGGGGAATGCACTCTAGAGAAAATAAGAATTGCAGAAACAGAGCGAAAAGGAGCACTTTTATTATGCAAAATGTATGGTACGTAATACGACAC